CTTCCACCTCAGCCTTCCGAGTAGCCGGAACTACAGGCGTGTGCTACCACGCCCGGCTGATTTTTTGATTTATTGTAGAGATGAGGTCTCGCTGCCCAGGCGGGTCTCGAACCCGCAGGCGCAGGCAATCCACTCACCTCAGAAAACCAACTTTTAAATCCATCCATATTTATGCCTTTGAGTGCTTCTGCCATTTTTTGTTTCACCTCTTCCACATCATCAAAACATTTCCCTTTGAGGCCTTTTTTCATTCAGGGAAACCAAAAAGAATCACTTGAGATAAGATCGGGTGAATAGGAAAGGTGGGGCATAGGGGTCATGCCGTTCTGGTCAAAAACTGCTGGACACTCAGTGCAGTGTGGACAGGTGCACTCGTAAATCACCCATCAGGAAATGGGCAAACCCGTTGAAACAAGTCTCCAAAAAAAATTCCCTGAAGCTGAATGCAGTTCCTCACAGCAACACTAGCTGGTACACTGATGCCAATGGGTTCCTAGGACACTTACCTGGCGGGGGAAGTGGGTACTACAGGGGCCCCCTCTCCAAAAGATAACTCCAGTTTTTTTTTGGGGGGGGGTCCCCCTTCATATAGTATGAAAGCAAAGATCTATAAAGGTGAATGAGTAAACTCATAACAAGCAGAGGGTTCTAGAGCAGGAATCAGCTAGCTTTTTCTGTAGCGAGTGAGGTAGTGAAATCAAGCTCTGTGGACCACACACAGTTTCTGTTGCAGCTGTTCAACTCTTCACCATAGTATAGAATCAGTCCTAGAGGATACAAAAACGAGTGTGCATGGCTATGTTCCAATAAAACTTTATTTACAAAAAGAGGCAGCAGGCCGTGGATTGCCAGCCTCATCCAGAAGAAAAAGTTAGCAAGAAAAGGTCGTGCTTGAATGCCAGTCTAAGAAGCTTCTCTTTTATTTCTTCAGTGGCAGGGTGTTTCAAAGACTTATCATTTTTATTACCCTGGAGAGCCCACTTCTTGTGTATTTCATGTCCATTTGGTCATCAGATTCCAAAAATTACCATAAAAGTTGCCGAGAAAGCTAAGCTGTGGTCTCAGGCAGGTGCTGAAAAAAATAATGCAGTAAGATTTGCTCTCTGATGCCTTAAATGTTTTTTGCATTTGTGTATCTTTTTAATTGTATGTTTCTTTATTATTATTATTATTTATAAAGATGGGGTCTTGCTGTGTTGTCCAGGCTGGTCTCAGACTCCTGGGCTCAAGCCGTCTTCCTGCCTCAGCCTCCCAAAATGCTGGGATTACGGGCATGAGCCCCCACACCCGGCCCTTTGGTGCCCCTTAAGTCAGTTGGGCTTGGGGGGAGAGCAGCCCCATTGAGTATTCCCACAGTGGCATGTAACTTATTTACTGCTGAGTGAGGAAGGGCAAACTGCTGACTGCGGTCAGGGAGAAATAAGTCCAAGTGCAGATGGCATTTTAACCGACTTGAAGACCTGTGCCTTGTGGATTTGATCGTAAACCGGAGAAACGTTGGCGCAGTCCGTCCGGGGATGATTCCACCCAAACGCACACAGGAACGTTTCGAACGCAAGTGAGAAGCCGCAGTCAGTAGGGTTTCCAGACTCAGCACACAAAATTTCAGTTACCTCCAGGACACCCAGTTAAATTGGAATCTGGGATAAACAATAAAAAAACAAGTATAATTATGGTTCATTTAATATTTGGGACACACTGATACTAAAGAATTATTATTATTATTATCTTTTTTTTTGAGTTGGAGTCTCACTCGGTCACCAAGACTGGGGTGCAGTGGCCGCTCCCGGCCACCGCAGCCTCGACCTGCTGGGCTCCGGCGATCCTTCCGCCTCAGCCTTCCAAGTAGCTGCAACTACAGGAGCGCGCTACCACGCCCAGCTAATTTTTTTGATTTATTGTAGAGATGAGGTCTCGCCAAGTTGCCCAGGCGGGTCTCGAACCCGCGGGCTCAGGCAATCCACTCACCTCAGCCTCCCAAAGGCGCGGGATGACAGGCTGAGCCACCAAGCCTGGCTCTAAAGAATTACTTGTTGTTTATCTGAAATTCAAACCTAACTGGCCATCCCATATTTTATGTGGCAGTGAAGATACACGAACTAATAGTTTTGTGCACGACAGAATGCATCGTGGTGTCACTCTGCGGGTTATCCTTCACCGGGGTTGTTTGTTTGTTTAATTGTGGGTGTCGAATGACAGCGGGAGCTCATTAATTCCGACCTCGCTGGTTCAGAATTGTGATTATTTATGCACTGAATCCTCTTCATGAACTGAGTAAGCCTGTTTGTCATTGATGGTACAAACAAAACAGGAAGAAAACTGTCCTTGGGAGACCACAAAGAGTGTGATTATAATGTGATTGGAAGCACGTGTTATCTAGGGGGTGCTTTTCATTAAATAATTGTAGATCATTCTCGGGCATTCATTGAAATAAGCCTTTACCAGGCACAGGCAGATGTGGCTCCCCGAGCCCTGGTGGCCGGCCTTGGGTCCTGTCTGCCCTGGGAAGTGGTATGTGTGGCCATCCTTCCTGTACCCTGTGTTGGTTTTGCTTGCGTGCTCTCTAGATCTTCACTATGCTTGCCGCCTTGAAGGCACGCTGCAAACTGTCTAGCAGTTGAATGAATGAATGAACGCCATCTGCATGTGTTAAAACAAGCATTCTAGCCGGGCTCAGTGGCTCAGCCTGTAATCCCGCGCCTTTGGGAGGCTGAGGTGAGTGGATAGCCTGAGCCCGCGGGTTCGAGACCCGCCTGGGCAGCGAGACCTCATCTCTACAATAAATTAAAAAATCAGCCGGGCGTGGTAGCGTGTGCCTGTAGTTCCAGCTACTTGGAAGGCTGAGGCGGAAGGATCGCCGGAGCCCAGCAGGTCAAGCCTGCGGTGGCCGGGAGCAGCCACTGCACTTCAGTCTGGGCGACAGAGTGAGACTCCAACTCAAAAACAAACAAACAAACAAAAAAACAAGCAATCTTTGTTTCTAAATTTCTTACATTTTAAATTTTAAAAATAATTTGGGTTGGGCACAGCGGCTCCTGCCTGTCGTCCCAGCATTTTGGGAGACTGAGGCAAAAGGATTGCCTAAGCCCACGGGTTTGAGATCACCCCGAGCAATTTGGTGAGATCTTGCCTCTACAATAAATCAAAAAATTAGCTGGGCATGGTAGTGTGAGCCTATGGTTCCAGCTACTTGGAAGACTGAGGTGGAAGGATCGCCTGAGCCCAGGAGGTCGAGGCTGCAGTGGCTGTGAGCGTGTCACCGCATTCCAGCCTGGGTGACAGAGTGAGACTCCAACTCAAAATAATAATAATGATAATAATAATAATTTGGTTGGGCTTTCCTTCATGCCAAGTTTCAGGACATAAAGGGAATTTCTGATAACCTTAGTTTCATTGCATAAGGGCCTTGGAGAGGCTGACACTGACGCCTGTTTCTGAACCTCCAAATGTGCACTATGAGGGGAGAAACAGTGCATATTGTATTTTAACCGACTTGAAGACCTGTGCCTTGTGGATTTGATCGTAAACCTGAGAAACACTAGCACAGCCCGTCAGGGTATAATTCTACCCAAACGCATGCAGGAACATTTTGAATGCAGCACGAGCGCTCCTGTGAGCCTGCTTCCGTGTCGGACCATGGGTCTCAAACCATCAGGCTGCTGACAACACTAGCAGGATTGAGCCTGCAGTTTTCCTCACTTGCCTCTACCGGCATGATCATGTATGAACGCATCTGTATACACACACACACGCACACACGCACCACACACTCTTAAATAAATCCTCAAACATCTTCCAAAGAGATGGCAAGGGCTTCTTTTGACCGAATACTGATTGTGGCCATCACTGATAAGTAAGACATTAGGGACTTGAAACAAATATGGAGACGTTCACAACTTTGTTGTTGTTGTTGCTGTTGTTGTTGTTGTTGGAGTCTCACTCCGTCGCTCAGGCTGACTGCAGTGGCACGATCAGAGCCCACCACAGCCTCAACCTCCTGGGCTCAGGCAATCCATCCGCCTCAGCTGGTGCACCACCATGCCCAGTAGCTGGTGTACCATCATGCCTAGCTAACTATTTAATTTTTTTCTTTTTTTTGTAGGGACAAGGTCTCACTATGTTGCCCAGGCTGGTCTCGAACTCCTGGGCTCAAGCAATCCTCCTACCTTAGCCTCCCAAAGTATTGAGATTTCAGGCGTGAGCCTCCTCGCCTGGCCTCATTCACCCTTATTAAACCACATTTGTATGATCAGAGATTACTATTTATAAGCCATCCACAAGACCCTTGAGGACTACCGGTGAATTCTGGACCACTCTTGGGGGACATAAAACATGCGTGATTTGGGTGTGGAATGGGTCACTTCAGAACTTCTTTTTTTTTTTTTTGAGTCGGAGTCTCCCTCTGTCGCCCAGACTGGAGTGCAGTGGCCGCTCCCGGCCACCGCAGCCTCGACCTGCTGGGCTCCGGCGACCCTTCCGCCTCAGCCTTCCGAGTATCCGGAACTATAGGCGCGCACTAGCATGCCCAGCTGATTTTTTATTTATTGTAGAGATGAGGTCTCGCCAAGTTACCCAGGCAGGTCTCGAACCCACGGGCTCAGGCAATCCACTCACCTCAACCTCCCAAAGGCGCAGGTTTACAGGTTGAGCCACCGAGCCCGGCTCACCTTAGAACCTCTACTGCCTGCCATCGGTTGACAGCCAGCCTTGGAAACATAAATTCAGGCGAGACTTGTTCTCGGTTTCCACCCGTGGCTTTTTTTCTCTGTTCCCTTCCAGCGGAGGAAAAGGATTTATAGGAAGCAGGAGACCGGGTACTCAGCCTCCCTCTTTCTTCCTGATCGTCCCACATTCCTGAAGTGTTTTTTCTTGCAGTCTGAGAATCCAGGGGGCTGCCCCGAATGCAGGTCAGAGGAGCTTATGAGACTGAGCTGGACGTCCAGTTCTGGGGCTGTGACCTTTCTTTTGACGATTCCTTCCTGTTCTCCCTTCTCTCACAGCACCCTGGAGGGGTTCTACATGGACGATGCCCTGCAGGGCCAGGGAGTTTACACTTATGAGGACGGGGGAGTTCTCCAGGGCACCTATGTCGACGGGGAGCTGAACGGCTCAGCCCAGGAATATGACACGGACGGAAGACTGATCTTCAAGGGACAATACAAAGATAACATTCGGCATGGAGTGTGCTGGATATATTACCCAGTAAGCTTATGACTGTTCACTTTGCTGGGAAGTAGCATATTTTTAAAAAATGTACCAGGTGTGGTGGCTCATGCCTGTCATCCCAGCACTTTGGGAGGCTGAGGCAGAAGGATCGCCTGAGCCCAGATCAAGGCCGCGGTGGGCCGTGATTTTGCCACTGATCGCTCCAGCCCAGAGGACAGAGTGAGAACATGTTTCCAAAAAAAAAAATAATGACAATGCTTTGCCTCTACACAATGAAGAGTCCAATGTGTTCTTGGTTAGCTGAGACTGACTTGGGGGTCAGGGTGGCTGAAGCCAAGGGTATCTGAGGAGGCCTCTCCTGGTTACTCACTGTTGGCTCAGACTGCTGGCCCTTGAGTCCGTCGTTAATGATTTGTCAGTGTTGTTTTGGAAAAGAATGGTGAATCATGATTAAAACAAATTGGAACACGTTGGCTTTATTGTACCACGCATAAAGGCAAAATATATCGCTTCCAATTCTCTTGGCATATTGCTGGAATGTTTTATTATGGCCATTCCTTTAATTCTGCTTCTCATCTCTAAGAACGAATCTGGCACTTTCCAGTCTTTTGGGGTGACACTACCCTGTTGCTGCGGGATTTTACAGTTCCGCTTGCTACTTTTAAGATGCTTTATGTTGCTTAAAGTTATTAAGATAATTAACTTGCCTTTGAGTATTTGATAGCATTTTATATTTCTGGAGCTTATTCGAGCCAAAAGATATGGCAAAACCCATGGGCAAGCATTAACGCTCTCATTTTTGTTTGCATTTCAAACATCCCATCTGTCGTTAGTGAATTTCCAGAAAATGTTTCACAAAATAAACCTCAGAAAATAATTTATGTGATATTTTATTTTATTCATAACTTAAGTCAAAATACATTTTTAATTCTGAAACCTATCTTCTTAGGATTAAAAAGTGTTCATAAAAACAAATTATCCATTGCATGTATAACAAGAAAAGTAGCTCCAGCTAAATCTACTTACACTTCATTGTTCTTAAAAAATAAGTTATACTCCTCACGCCTGTTTTCTCATCTCAGCCCTTTGGGAGGCTGAGGCAGGAGGATTGCTTGAGCCCAGGAGTTTGAGACTATCGTGGGCAACATAGCAAAGCCTCGTCTCTACAAAAAATTTTAAAAGTGAGCTGGGCCCGTGGTGGCACATACCTGTAGTCCCAGCTATTCAAGAGGCTGAGGTGGAAGGATCGCCTGAGCCCAGGAGGTCGAGGCTGTGGTGAGCCATGATTGTGCCACTGCACGATCAAAAATATGTAGTTACATTTTAACCTTTAGCCATAATTATCATATTAAATACCAAAGAGGACCGTTCCTTAGGAAGGAAGCTCTAGTGAGCCTTATCCTGGCATCCCTCACCCGGCAGAGAAATGGGTGTTGTGTCAGCAGGTGTCAAAACCCGCCTTCTCACCCATCAAATGGATGACTCCTCCCACGTGGAGCAGTGACAGAAAGCACGGGCTTATTCCCCAGTGTACCCTGATACAGCAGACCTGATCATTTCTGTAACAATGGCCAAAGCAGGAACAAGGGGAAGAGAAAAAGAATGATTTCCCCCACAGTACATATTGAGAAGCTGTAAAGACAGTTTAATTCTTTCAAAGATTTACCTTAGAACCTGATATAAAGCTTTTAATTAAAAATTTATAACTCCTGGCCAGGTGTGGTAGTTCACACCTGTAATCCCAGCACTTTGGGAGGCCGAGGCGGGAGGATTGCCTAAGGCGGTAGAGGCTGTCGTGAGCCGTGATGGTGCCACCATATTCCAGCTTGGGTGACAGAGACCGCCCCCGCCCCCCAAATTTATAACTCCTTTTGGAAATAAAAGAAGAATTTCTACTTCATAAGTCTAGACACATAAATTCACTTTGTCTAAATTTAAAGCGTTTAAATGGAAAGGTGTGAGACTTCTGAAACACAGACTTCTGTTTAAATAAATAGTAATGTTGATGACTTATATTAGTTATAGTATATAAGGAACATAAAAGCCCTAACTAGCTTCCACTCCATAATCATTACTGAAAACCTGAAGGAAGATCTTATAGAAAGTATCATCCCCATGAATGCTTGGTTATCAAGAATTAGTTTGGGGGCCAAGGTCAGTGACTCATGCCTGTAATCCCAGTCCTTTGGAAGGCTGAGGCAGGAGGATTACTTGAGCCCAGAAATTTGAGACCAGCCTGGGCAATATAGCAAGAACTTGTCTCTACAAAAAAATCAGCCAGGTGTGGTGGCACGTGCCTGTAGTCCCAGGTACTTAGGAGGCCGAGGCAAAAGGATTGCCTGAACCCAGGAGTTGGAGACTGTACTGAGCTGTGATCGTGCCACTGCACTCCAGCTTGGATGACAGAGTGAAACCTTGACTCCAAAAAAAAAAAAACCAAAAGAATTATCTTGGGGAGGACAAAGAACAATAAATATATCCCTTGTGTGCTTTTTTTTTTTTTGATTTGGAGTCTCACTGTTGCCCAGGTTGGAGTATGGTGCACGCTCACGGCCACCGCAGCCTCGACCTGCTGAGCTCAGTCAGTCCTTCTGCCTCAGCCTTCCTAGTAATTGGAACTACAGGTGTGTGCCACCACGCCCAGCTTACTTTTTTATTGGTTGTAGAGACAAGGTCTCGTCAAGTTGCCCAGTCTGGTCTCGAACCCCTGGGTTTATGCAGTCCTCTCCCCTCAGCCTTCCAAAGTGCTGGGATTACAGGCTTGAGTCACCAAGCCCGGCCCCTTGTCTACCTTCTCCCCATGAAAAATGCTTCCAAGTATTTTCTTCCATGAAAGTGCATGATTCATTTTTATTTTTTTTTATTTATTTATTTTGAGTTGGGGTTTCACTCTGTTGCCCAGACGGGAGTGCAGTGGCCGCTCCTGGCCACCGCAGCCTCGACCTGCTGGGCTCCGGCGATCCTTCCACCTCAGCCTTCCGAGTAGCCGGAATTACAGGCACGCGCTACCACGCCCGGCTGATTTTTTGATTTATTGTAGAGATGAGGTCTTGCCTGCCCAGGCGGGTCTCAGACCCATGGGCTCAGGCCATCCACTCACCTCAGCCTCCCAAAGGCGTGGGATTACAGGCTGAGCCACTGAGCCCGGCCATGATTCATTTTTAAATGTATAAGCTTTTCCTGCAAAAGGGCAATTAGGTGACAGTGAGCTGTAGAAATCTCGAACCTGATCTCATTTATTCCTGTTGGCTTTCACGAAGCAGCATTTGGAATCACTCAAAATCCTTGTGTGTCACCAATTTGGGTAGCTGTTCCTAAAGCCATGAGTTGGGAAAATAACCAAGCTTTTAGAAAGTGTCATGGCATTACTTTTTCTTTTCTTTTTTTTTTTTTTGAGACAGAGTCTCACTCTGGGTCGCCCAGGCTAAGAGTGCATTGGCATGCTCATGGCCACTGCAGCCTTGACCTACTGGGCTCAGGCGATCCTTCCAAGAAGCTGGAACTAAAGGCTTGCACCACCATGCCTGACTAATTTTTCTTTTTTTTTTTTTGAGTTGGAGTCTCACTCTTCCGGCCACCACAGACTCAACTTGCTGGGCTCCGGTGATCCTTCCACCTCAGCCTTCCAAGTAGCTGGAACTACAGGCGTGCACTATCATGCCTGGCTAATTTTTTTGATTTATTGTAGAGATAAGGTCTCACCAAATTGCCCAGGCAGGTCTCGAACCCCCTTGCGTAGGCAATTCACTCACCTCGGCCTCCCAAAGCGTGGGATTACAGGCTGAGCCACCAAGCCCGGCAATTTTTCTTGATTTATTATAGAGATGAGGTCTCGCCCAGTTGCCCAGGCTGGTCTCGAACCCGTGGGCTCAGGCAGTCCTCTCACCTTGGCCTCCCAAAGTGCTGGGATTATAGGTATAAGCCACCACGCCCGACCTGCATTACAATTTTTTAAATAAATGTTCTAGATTTTCAAAGTTATATCAGAAGGATGTTTTGGATGGGAAAGAGGGAAAAAAAAGGCAACCTTTCTGGTACCCTAGATAAAATTATTCATTACTTTTTAGGATGTCTGGTCAGTTCAAAAAGTATTTATGGATCACCTACTGTGTTCCTTCCTACCACCTATCAAGACACAGAATGGTAGGATGACTCTGCCCTGTGTTTTCAGTGACCCTTCAGAATAAAGGCAACGAAAGGGTTCGACAGGAGGCTGACCTGGCTGCTGGTTTGGGAGCAGGAGGAAGCCATAAAGAAAGAACAGAAAGAAAGAAATGACATGGAGACAGTTAACTGAGTTGATCCCTGAGATTTTCACTTTTCCTCCTGGAAGTCTCAGGGAGGCAGCGTCCAGAAATCCTTTTGTGTATCGCTTAAAAAATGCCAATGACTCTGTCTTTACTCGTGAACACTAAAGTAACTCTTTTATTTTTTTTTTCTGAGTCAGAGTCTCACTATGTCACCCAAGCTGGAGTGCGGTGGCGCGCACATGGCCACCACAGCCTAGGCCCACTGGGCTCAGGTGATCCTTCTGCCTCTGCCTCCCAAGTAACTGAAACTACATGCATATGCCACTACGCCCAGCTAATTTTTTTATTTATTGTAGAATGAGGTCTCTCCAAGTTGCGCAGGCTGTACTCAAACTTCTGAACTCAGGTCATCCTCTTGCCTCTGCCTCCCAAAGTGCTGGAATTACAAGCGTGAGCCACCACACCCAGCTAAAGTAACTCTTAAGTGCTAATGTGAACTAAAGATACCACCTAACTCCAGTCAGAATGGCAATTATCAATAACAAAAAATAACAGTTGCTGG